CTGGTCTGTTGGGGTCAGACCACATGCTGCACCTTAATCTTTATGCTGAAGGTACAGTTGTACTTCAAAAAATTCTCTGCAAAGTCCCACTGGGATGGGCTCCATTTTCAGAGTGATGATGAAGTCCTCCATGCTGTTGGAGCATCTGGAGGCTGAAGATGTGACCTTATTCCTCGTAGTGATGGTGAATACTGAGTGGACCAAGTGCATTGAACTTAAAGGAGGCTATACTGAAAAATAATACAGGAACAATCTGTCTGCTCTGGTGTTTTCTATTGAGGCTGAGAACTGCTTGAAGTTCCCTCATAGCTCTTTCAGACTGGCTGGATGCTTGGCCTTGTCCTGCTGCAGAATTCATTGATCAGATGTCCTTGTGATGGTATTGTGGGGAGTGTAACAATGTCAGCATACTAAATCCCTCAAAACTTTTGCGCTGTGCTCTCAGTAACATTTAAGACACCCCAGTGGTAAAAAGAAATGAAACAGTGGCCCTGAAACAAAAGGTACGGCTCTGGTTTTACTATCAAGCTGAACAGTCTGACTGGGTAGCATCCAGCCAATTATAATAACTACCATCCATTAGTACCCACACTATGTGGGATGTAGTGTCAACTAATGATTAGCCTGCTGACTGGCTTTGTGGTCATTTAATGTGATCGTCTGCACACCACACAGCTGTGTTGCTCTCATGTACTCATACTGAACTGTGGTCATCTTCTAATACACAACAGACATGTGGAAACACGTTGATCGTTATTCAGACATGATGCTACCTGTTGACTAAACTTTAGTGCGCGCTTCACTTTTTCATAGCTATTGAAAACGTAACTTTGCCTCTTGCGGCAATCGAAACTCATCCCTCTGAACGCTTCAGCAGCCACTGACGAGTATTACGACCTGTAACCAAGACTGACTGAAATCCAGATTGAAGCCTGATAGAGAGGAGTCTGTTATCTCCACTGTAGGCTGGCAGAGGAGAGCAGGGATGGAGGTGGGAGTGGGGGTTAGAGGTATCTGTCAGATCAATAGCTCATCATCGTTACCTTCCTGAAAGCATGATGGCATTGTCTTGTGGAGGACTGAATGTGTGATTGTAAACCACCAACAGGAGATTCATTTATGTCTGAGGATGCTGTTTATGTTCATCACAGAATGACAGGATATGTTAGCAAACTACTGCCCTGTTTTGATGGACACAGTGGTTCCATTACCACTGAAGTGTTGCTTTCTAAGCTAGCTCTGTATGAATCATTACACCCAGTTTATGGTGTAGTAGAATGCTCCGTTGGAACCACGATTGGGCTCTTGGTCGTTTTCCTCAAGCGGTTTCTAAGCAGTTTTTGCAGTGTGGTGGAGCACATTGTCCTGTGCAGAGAGACTGCTGCTGTTTCCATGTTGGGTCTGCATCAATGCACCCAATGGACCCAAGGCTTCCCAGAGTGATTATTGTAGGTGGTTTCTCCCTCTCTAGTGGTACGACCCGTAGGAAAGTACCATAGATGAGCTACTGAAAACCAAAATTAAAACAAATAACCCGCGTTTTGACAGTGGTTTCATAAAGGACTGGTTAGGTGCAAAACAGCTTAGTTGAATTTCGGAGAAGTCATAGTTTGGGTTAAAGACTGTACGTACCAATTTGTGATTCTATAATTCAACCTGATGTCTTGTCGTGATTCCCGTGGCCACTAGATGGAGCTGTCATTGGAATGTAAACTGTTTTTGGGGCGTTGGCTAAAACAACTGATGCTGTGCCGGTGAGGTTGCCCAACAATAAAACACAGCTGCTGGTAATAATGAATTTCCTAATTGTCAATAAGAGGTCTAATCAACCAATGACAAAATGTGATCTGTGGTAACAGTCCAAACATTGGCTGAACACATGCAGTGCTGACCAACCATTAGCCCGTAAAAAAGGGAAAGAAATTGGTGAAAAAACCAAAAGGTGTTTAAATTATTCTGTTCATCTGGATGGAAAACATTCTGCCTGGTGCACAGAAATATTTTGACATGTTGGGAGGTACTTACAGACTTTCTTGCTGAGCTTTAGGTCAGAAGATTGATATCAAATAATGGAAGGAGGAGAAGCTAGCCGGGCTCTGTGCATCAACACATGGATGGACACAAACCTGGTCAAAGGGGAAAGAGTAGAAAATGGTTTTCTCAACTGCTGCTGTCGTAAAATCACACCCAAGTAAAAGTTAAATAACTAAAGAACCTACTCAGTTAGAAGAAATAAGTAACTTAATTAAAATGCATAATGTTAAAAGGCAAACACTGAAAACAGCTAATTTACCAAAAGAACTCAAGCAGCAGCTGTTAACTCGAGCTGTAGCAGGTTCGTCGCACAAACACATTAGGTCTGTAATTTCATTAGCAAGTCCCTCACAGAGTAGCATCTTCTAATTCAGTTTACTTTTCTCTTCAGTAGCTAAACTCCTCGTACCTGAACCTGGTCTTTCAAAGGTTCAAAGCTGGTGTGCAACACTTCATGCTCTGACTTTAGATTGTAAATATAGAGCATGAAAATAAAAACTGACCAGATTTGACTGTGATCAAAATTTTTAATCAACGACAAATTGTTCAAGAATGACATGTTTGTATAATTGTGTCGGCTGTGAGTCATTGTCTAGCTACAAGTTAATATGCTCGACTCAAACGTTCATGTTCAGATAACGAGGTGATTAAATTGATCTCGTACATCGTCTGGTTTTAAAGTTGAGCCACTCTGGCAGCTCTTCCTGACGTACAGCTTCCTTTATGTCACTGACATTCGCCCAACCAATGGGAAGAGACGGCTGATGATGAGATAACTGGGTTGGTTTTAGTCCAAGCAGGGTAATAACCTCGATCAGACTGACTGTGTGTCACATTAGCTTTAAACCAAAAGAAGCAGCACAACAATGTGTGCTACCTCCTATTGTATTTGCTGCTTTTCCTTTCCACTAAATGTAAAATTGATCAGCGTGGTGTTGACTTTCTGTTCCTGTGTCTCTCGTCTCCTTTTTTCCTGCAGTTTGGTCGGACAGAAGTGATCGATAACACACTGAACCCCGACTTCGTGAGGAAGTTTGTCCTTGATTTCTTCTTTGAAGAGAAGCAGAACCTTCGCTTTGATGTGTAAGTGGAAATATCTCCGCCTTCTCCCTCTACGCCGCTATCTGTTTCTTTTGTTATACCAGGGAACGACTTCAATCAAGCCTGCTCTTGTTTTGGCCTGCCGACTCGTACCCACTAGGCTTCGAAGGCTGATTGCCATGAAAGCATTCTGACTGGATGACTCCCATCAAATTGTAAATCAGCAGTAAATCACTATGTGACAGATTTCTGCGTTTGGATGACAGTCGTCGATGTTTTCACATTCTGACGGCTTTCTTTGGGTTTTCTGTGTCACTTTATGACCATTTATCAAGAGCTCATAAGCTTTAATTAACAACTTTATTCATTCTTTATATTAGAACAGAGTCTTTATAGATCAGTGAAAAGCCAAGAAGAATTTTTAGGCTGCCAGGTAGTGAAAAAAGTACTCAAATTAATTAACAAACTATTAGAGCTGCAAAAATCTGTGAAAGAAAAAAAAATACACCTGCAGCTCCTGCAGCTCTTCCCTTTTTCCTCTGCCTGGATCCACACAGCAGGAAATGGAAAAGAAGGGATGTTTAGGGTCTCTGAGGTATGAGCTTTACAGTTTGGGATTAAAAAAAGATTTTTGTCTGGAGGCAGAAATCAAATTTCTGATTCACTGATGAAATGCATACAATTGACAAAGTGACAGCGCCAAAGTGATTAAAATCATATTAATTAATTATCAGATTGTTTAATTTTACTGCTACAAATGGACTCAGTAAATCTCTCTCTCATGCAGCCTTTCAATCTGGTTTCATGTTTGTCACAAACTGCGTTTCCCTTCGTTTTTGTCGAGACCTCATTATCAGATAGAAGTTGTTTTTTGGACTCAGAGCTTTGAACGATATTCTGAAGTAACACTGAGGAGAAATAGAAGGAAATTTACTTACAGAGTTGGCAAACGAGCACAACGCAGATGAGCTGCCAAATCGAAAACCCGAAGGATTCAAAGAAAGGAGAACAAAGAGACGAGGAGAGAGGTGTTGTTGTTGTTTATTTACTGGTGTTTATTTACAGATCTGTGCAGCTTCTGTACTTACTGCTCCATTTCAAACTCTACTTTTTTTTTTTTTTTAACGTGAAACCACTCGGAGGAGATTGTGGGCAGATAAAAGCAGACAGGAAGAGGACAAACTTGCACTCCTACAGCCCCATTCTCTCTGCAGCAGGGGATCGATGCCCCTGCAGGGGGCTTCAGAGAGGCGACCCAGCGTGGGGTCAGGTGTTAGAAGAAGAGGCCAGAGAGACGCTCAAATCCTTCTAATTGATCACCAGCTTCACCACTCTGGCCATCACTGCATGATCAATAGCTCTGAACACCAGCAGCAGCAGCTTGAGGCATTGATCCGACCAATCCCAATCGTCAGTCGATAGCAGAAGAAGCTGCAGTCTGAGCTGATCCGTTTGTTAGAACTCTAAACGTCTATTAGGAACATCTGTGTGCAGTGACAGTCACGCAAAGTCAAATCAAAGGATTGTTAATTGTGATCTGCGTTAAACAAAATCAATGTTCATTTATGGCCTCCCCTTTAAACGATGAACTGGTATTGATCTGATGGAGTTTACAGTAATTTATGCTGTGACCACTGGCTTGGGATGTCAATACATCCTGGACTGTTGCTCAGTGAGACTGTCCAATGTGCTATCCAACAACAAACACCAGGATTTATGCTGCTACAACTCTGGCAATTACAGTCCAGCACCAGGTTTGGGAGTGACTAGCTGTTAAAACACTCTGGCTCGGAGTTAAACCCCCAACTTCACAGTCTGTGTGTGTCCCATAGCATGCCTGCAGGGCCACAAACCTGTCATTTCTGACCAGCTTTGGACATCAGGTTGCCTATCTACTAGACCACTAAGTCTATTAAACTGGAAAGTGTGCACACCAGCCTGCTTCTCTTGGGATTCATGGCCGGAGGGTTAGCTGAACACAGAACAGACAAACTGCCTGTTAAAACAACTTTAATAAAAGGCTGGTGTTTGACTGGATCTGCTCTGCTGCCTGAATCAGCCTAATCCCAACAACAGATCCACTAAGATACCCCAACCCTACCCACCATTCATAGCATCCTTCCCACTGTGTCCCTCCAGCTGATACCATCTATTATCAGCCTGTGATAAGGCCCTTAAGTGTACCGGGAGACTGTTCACAAGCTCCTTGTTTGATCTCCCACTAAATGACAACTGACTACAGTTGCTCCAGCAATTAGGACTTGTTATATCACTCAGCTCTTCTCTTCTCTTCTCTTCTCTTCTCTTCTCTTCTCTTCTCTTCTCTTCTCTTCTCTTCTGCTTTGTGTGGCCTGAACTTATATATTTATTCTAGGTACTTGCTCCCAGTTAAGCAGGTTGACATAAAGTGTGTTGCTGTAAGTTGGGGAGTTCCTGCCGTCACCTCTGACCAGGAGGACAGACGGCTCACCATAGATAATAGATAAATAGATAGATTTCCAGCATCTTTGGGATCATTACAATTAAGTTTATTC